CACCTGTATCCAAATCCTGCAGCCTGATTGCAGAGTTATCATAGAATAACATCTAGTCTCTAAAATGAACATATTTTACAGGAAAAAACAATTCATAAATTATGATCATAAAATATATTGAAAAGGAGCCCAGAGACTTTCTTCATTAGCTGTAAATGTTATAGTCTAGACTTGCCACATATTATAGACTTGCAAGGTCTTTCTTTGATATATTTGTTTCAGGGTCTGTATGACAAACTAGAGTTAAAATTGAACAAGCCACCGAAGAGGTTGAAATAGATTGAGAAGAATATTACAGTTCAAATATACTCATGGAAACAAATAAGGGAACACATGAAAGTACAAGCATTCGTTTATTATTTCCAGATTTTCACCCACAGTGCAATACATACCTTGTGAAGAAACCTAGAAAAGAATAAAGGAACACTTGTACTTTCATGCGTTCCCTTATTTGTTTCCATGAGTATATATGTATGCAGGACCTGATATTATAAATAAAAATCCTGCTGTATCAGGTCATGATGACATTGCTAATGTTCTGTTAACTTTTATTTATTTAGTAAGCTTTTCATTTCTTCCTGTATCGGTATTTCATCTTATTTAAGATTTTAATTATTGTGAAGCTCAGCTGCATCATGGAATACAGACCTGTTGATGCATTTCCAACCAAGAATACACGACAATCGAACACCTACAAGTTCAAAAGTGTATAAACTCTTATATTTACCTTTCATTCTAAAACCAGTTTAATTTCCCCTATATTTTCAAGAGATAGAGTACACAGTGATTCATAGGCCATTGAGATGTGTTTAAGTGTTTAATCTTGCAAATCTACCATCGAAATGGATGAACAAATATTGACCTTTTCCTTGAACTTGTATAGCACCAGGTAGGTCCATTTATACGAGTGTTCCATTTGTTCAGATTCAGACTCATATTTCCATTAGGCGTCAGGGGTCAAGCCTTATAGTCCCTAATTTGGCCAGCTACTGAAACGCAGGATGATCATGGCCATGTATATCCCGTTTAACAGCCTTCCTGCTGCTTTGTACGCCTCCATGTTGATTACAATAGACTACCTGGCCATACAAATTATACTACATCAGATGTGTCATAAATATTCGTGATATTGTTCCGTAATGAAATATCAATATATTTAACTTCCCTGGTGATCATTAGAAAGAATAAAATCCTTAATAGTTGTTTCAAGATTCTTGATGTAGATTTGTTTTAGAAATATATCACAAGGTCAAATTCAAGGCCATGTACTTGTTTACATGTTTTACACACTTAATGGTATTGCATGCAGCTTGTTATACGTCTGTGGTTGCTATGGCTGCTGTCAAGGTGACAGTAGTTTATGAGTTCTGTATTGAGCAACTTGTAGGTTGTGTTGGGAATATGTTATGCCGATTGTGTTACCTGCTGATTGTGTTACCTGCAGTAACAGCTGAACATTATGTATGCTATAGCTACCGAGTTGCAGACAAGTGCTCCTTGGTATTGCCTAGCACATTCAGCCTACCTGTGTTTGAAAGATTAGGGATTAAGGAGAATATAGGTTCTGTAATAAAAATTCATGGTGACATGCATTGAAACAACATTTTGTTTCTCCATTCACTTAACTGTAATGTTGTAGTCAAGTTAATGTTTGGTTTAATTTTGCACAAGTTAAAACAAGAAATTATCCAATTTCCTCATTATGGTATTTAAAGGAAAAGGTATCAAGATCATCAGGTCATCTGAAATGAAATTACGGGATCAAATTTTTATGGAATGTAATCCTTATTTTCGTTTAAGTATTGAATCAGATGGTATTTATACAGACAGTATTAGTACTTTCTTGATCACAAGCAGTTTTTTTCCCATAACACTTATTCTGTAAATGTAGACGTCTTTAAAGGCATTATCATAATTAACAATTTGGAAGTTTTTAAGTTGTTTTTGATTTTGTGGACAGGAAACCTCCATTGTCCACTTTATAATGCTTGTCCTCCAAGGACCAGCGTGGTCAACTTGAATATTTGGCCAAGTAGGTACACCTAATGTAAACATAGGCACTCCGACTTGACCGATTTGGCTTGGTCAGTCAAAGGGGAGATCGTGACTGAAGGCCGCATGTAAACACCTACAGCCCTGTTTGATGGTGATTAGATGTGGTGGTCACTTCCGACAATGTAACACAATACATGGAGATTAACCTGTGGAGGCGGAAGGGATGGCTACCTGTTCTATTCATTGTGATTTATTGATGTAGTGGGTCTATGGCTGCTGGAAATTGAGGCTAATTACTGCTATTTGATGCTGAATCACTTCGTAGCTTAACTTGAAATACATTCTTTATCAGCCATTTTAAGTTTATAGTTATTGTTTGAGGTTTGATCATTTCAGAAATTGAGTTTAGAAATTTATTTCATGTAAACCATGAAATATAATTTCATAAAAAAAAGGAAAAAGTTCAACAGGTACATTTGATAAATTGCTGATGAAGCATTTTATAATGTTCACTGAGAAAATAATGTTTTGATAATCATAATAACACATACTGTTTTTTTCTATACTATTTAATTATATGTTATATTAATGTATTAAATACAGGTACACAGATGACAATCGATAAAGCCAAGCTGTTGGTATGACACGGTGATGTTGATCATGTGTAGGTGTTTCTGTGGTATTTCGCTATTGATTCTCGCCACGTGATCTAGCGTCGCTACCTGTGTGGCACCCTGGGCTTTATTGAATGTGTAAACAGTGTCGTACATTGTGTCAGTGTCCCAGACACTGTCCGACTGTCTGTCGCATGTCCACACAGACTTGGTGTAAAATCAACCATTACTTGCTTGTATATTGCAGTGCCTGGGACTGACTCCCATATTGCAGTGGTTTCAATCGACAATATTTACAGGCTTGATAAGGACAAATACTTCTTTCTCTTGGGCTAATATATATATTTGAGGATCTCAAGCTGTATAATCTTTGAATGACATGTCTGTGGCTTTTAATAAAAGGGTGTTGTTATATCAGCCGTGACTAACGTGTATATCACAGGGCGTTAATAACAGGTTTATTGCCTCTGATATTTGTATGCATGAGTACCTCACACAATTCCTATCATCTTTGGATGATAAGTCAGATTTTGTATGACTTTATTGAGGCCTATGGATCTTGGTCATATACACATTTCTGTATGTAGAAAGAGCCATGTCTTGCATGATTAACAAATGGTGTGTATAAAGAATCAGTTTGTTTACTTCTGCTGCAATATTTGAATTATATTTTAAACAGTTGGGATATGGAATATAAGATTACATTTCTTTTGAAAATTCAACATTTATTACCAATAAAGACAGTTATGTTTTGGGGGGCAGATTTGTAATTGATACATTTGAAGAATGACTTCTGTGGTCTAATTGTTAAAGACAAAGCTCAAAGAATATTGCCTGATATGAAATGGCTGCAATCTGAAGCTTAATAATTAAAAAAATCCTTTGGGTTGTTACGTGAAAGTTTTACAAATTGATTAAGGCACACTATTCATTGATGTTATTTTAAGAGTGGATTTGAGAGGGTTCTTAAAGACAATTCAATTTAAGTTGTATTCATGACCTTGAGAACCATTTTTTGTCAAGTACTTTCATATAATATATAGGTTACATTCACATAATATCATGATGCCCTTGGGTAACCAAGTGAATGGGTTTGGTTGTCATGGCTTAAAACGAAGGTTTCATTTTCCAGTTTACGAAACCCATTCTGAGTGTTCCGATATTGTTTAACTCAAACATATAATTGTGACCCCACAATCATTATCTTAACATGTTGAAGACATTATTATGTTTAAAAATAATATTATGACAATATTTATCTTAAACCAAACAAAGATATATTTATCTTGGTTGCAGTAACAAATTTCAGTTAGACACACACCTATTAGATTACAGATTGTTTCCATTAATTATTTATTCAGACAAGGTTTGTTTACAAAGTACACTCTGTCTCATAATCTGGTCTTTGTTTTCCGTCTTTATTTATTTACAACATTTTCTACAAGGTCAGTTTCACCAATATTTAATTATTTAGTTATTAAGTAGTACAGGAGTCAGGTTACATGGTAGCCTTTTGAAGGGAATAGATTTCCAGTGGTAAGACGACTAGGGGCCTGGCAGGGATTAATTTGTAACACAGTAATCTCTTTATTACCACATGTGTATTTTGTTACTTCAATCCCAGAACTGATTGGTTAGGAGGGTGGTCACGCCTGGGAATCACCCTGGGGCAGATGGGAAGCACCCCGGGCAGATGTAGAGGAGACATGCTAATAACCAAGGGATTAATTAGCATGGTGGACAAAACACATGGAGCAGGCCACCTGTTGGTGTGACTGTTATCTACATAGTGGAGGTATATAAGTAATTACATATTGATGGCTACAGAGGAGGGTGTATATAGCTGTGTTCCCAGTGGGGTCGGGATAGATATCGATTTATGCTGGAAGGACAAACGTGGTGGAATACTATTGAGATATTGGAGCTACAATGCGATTTTACTCATTGAGAGGGATAAATGTGTTTAACAGACTGTGAATTCAGTGTGGTACATGGGCTGAATTCTCACATGTCTTGGAACAGTATTTGAGATGTTGATGTCTCAATTAAATTTTACTTACAGAGAGAAGTAAAATGTGTTTAACAGACTGTGAATTCAATATGTGGAACAGTTTGAATTCTCATTTTATGATTTGAGATGTCAATGCTGCAATGCAGTTTGCCCATTGAGAGAAGTATAAATGTGTTTAACAGACTGTGAATCGACATATGTATGTTGATTGTATTTGTGGTATTTTATCTGAGCCATATGTGTTTCATATGTAGCAGTGCCTAGGACTTACATATAAATCCAAGCCATGATCATTGCATGCAAGCAGTAAATCTCAATATCAGTGTTTGGTCAGTTCGAAGGAGGGGACCTTGCTACCCACCTGACTTACCTGAGTTTACCTGAGCAGCTGACGAGCTTGCTGGCTTTCAGGTGAGCTGTTTTTTACCTGGCTGGTTGAACGCAGAGAAAGGGCTATTGTTCCTCCAGGAGGTAGGAAGTCACCTGCTTGGCTTATGTGAACATTGCTCTGGAACAGACACACAATCGCTGCAGGTTTAGTGGAGCTTGTATTAGCTGAGTAGAATGGACATCTTGAGCTGCTTGTGAAAGGATATGCTATTGACAGTGTGTACTTGTTCATTGCTGCTGAATACAATGATCAGTACATCTGGATGTGGATCGTGTGAATTGACCCTGTTTGATTATAGGATTTTCATTGCTTTATGCAGGACGATGTATTAAGTTGTAGAAGTAGATTTTTTTCTACAGAATTCTCGGATTTATTGCTAAGGAGAGTCTGGAATTAGCATTTCTATGAACTTTAAGGGATGGCAGAGTTTATGGTGTTCAGCTTCAGAAACTGTCAAATGTGGATATATTCAGCAAATATGTTCATGATGAAGGAAGCCTATTTGCTCTGATGGACGTATTCATGGCAATGCATGTATAACAAATGAGCCTGGAGATTTAACATGTTTGTGTGTGGCTGTCACTTGCAATAACAGCTGAGCAAGCAGAATTTGATACGGAATCACATAACCTGTTGGCAACTTGACAGAATAATTTCATAATTAATATAACTTTATTGTCTGATGACAAGTGACTGGGAGGTGGAGCTGAATTCTTGAACTGTTGAACTTGGCTTTGAATGAGTGTATGTCACATTGTATAGCTATGCTAGTGGAATTACATAGCATTCTTCCTCACTCTTCTTCCACTGTACCTGAAGACCCATTGCTCACAGCTCACACAAACTTTACCTTACCCTGACCCAACTAATTTGATTGGTGACTGGATGACATGCTATTCTATCCCTTTACTACCTCTGTCAGTTTCAAGCCTTTGAATTTGGCATTGGTGGTAATACTATAGGACTGTGAATTGAAGAGGAAAATACCCTGGACTGTTTGATTGTCAAAAAACGGTGTTGTTTGGTTGCTCAAGACTGTGTCGGGATTGAATAACTTGGATTAGAAAGTAATAGGCTTGGACAAACAGGACGTCCGTGGTGAGATTATCTCCAAGTTTGTATGAAGTCGCCAGGTGGATTGTATGCCTGTGATGTCATTTCTTTTGTGGGTTTCTTCTAATGTGAGGTAATTTTGTGGACTGCAATGGTGCAAATCATTGAATGCATTATTGCAATTTTTTGTTGAAAGGTCTGAATCTTTTTAAGATTTCTAATTGTGGACTGGCTGAAGAGATTCCAAGGAAAGTGCTAGATGTGAGGACATTATGTTAACCTGAAGTCTTATGGCAATTTTGTATCTTTTAATCTCCCCAGACAATTGACAGCAGGAAGTTGTACTGAGAAAGTTGTTTGGTTAACTAAATCCTACTCGTAATCCGCTGGATATATTTCAATTTGACAAAAGGATTTAGTTGTCCAACATTTGGTGGAGTTAACAGACACTGATCACTGACTACTTAACACAGACAGGGAGATCTGATGAAAACTTGAAAGAACTGTTTGCCTGGACACAAAGAGTTCAGTATTACACAATCTGAAACAGACATCAGAAGCAGACGACATCTTGGGAATATCACACACGAAATATTTCCTGGGGAATATACAAGTTCCTGTGACAGTAAGGAGTGACGATGGCAATCTCAATAGCAGTGACTCATACACTGACAGTGAGCTAATAGCGAACACTCTGTCACCAACTGTTGCGGACAAGCAGACGACACAAAAACAGCCCAGGACGCTAGCTATGTTTACTGATAACCGCAAACGCTTTGTGAATGGAGTACTAGCCTTGTATAGCCTGTGAATTCTGAGACGGGTGTAGGCTAGTTTACCCCTCTATTGAACAGTCTTAGTGTATCTGGTGAAGTTAGCTCCTAACGTCATACATCTAACTTCGGAACAACCTGTGTATTTGACCTGAATCGTTGTCACCTGGAACGATGGGAGCTAATCAGTCGCATACTGTAGAGGCGAAGTGGCGAGAAACGGCGGCCAGAGAAGCTACTCTAACCCGGCATAATCCCGAACAGGGGCAGATCAACACTATGAAGAGTAGCCATAATAGTGGACAAGGTATAACATGCTTTTTACTTATTGAATATAAGGTGTATACCATGTGTTTAATAGATAGGATAGATTTATTGAGTGATGGGATGAGCTCCAGGATTTATTTTGAGACTAGGACACCTAAGTAGGTTATCAAAAAATTTCAATGTTTGAATTATTTTTTTATGTGAAGTTAGTATGTTTGGTGATATGATTGTTGAGCCTGTCACATGAATGAAAACATGATTCATGTGGATAAAGAAAATAAAAGTAGATGTGGGAAATTTCTACTGACAATTAATAGGGCCTGAGTTGTCAAACATCCTTGTCTTACGTCAGTAAGTATGTTCTGAACTTAGGATTTCTAAATATAAATCGGTAAGAGTTCTGCCCGTGCACCCCACTTGAAATGTATTCTATTTATTAGTATATTTCGAGGGGTTAGGGTTATTTGTTTTTGTAAAAAAACCCATCTATTCTTAGGCATAGAATGATAAAAAAATATACTGGGGTTACGGGCGGAGATCTTTCTTATAAATATTTGTTTCCTTATTTATGTGTCTGATACCACCTGAACAAAATTATGTTTAGGGTTTTTATCAGTGAAAATAATTAGACAACAGAAATGTCATTCCTCCTTTCTGCTTATTTCTTCTGAATCTCATACTGCTGTTTTCCTACTTCAGAGCTGTATAGCCTAACTAGCTAACTATTGTATTTAGTACTTTTCATATATTTCTAACAGTTAATTTTATCAAAATCTAATCATCTAATTTAATAATATTGTAATCTTATAATTTTGATAATTACTTGGCACTTTTTACATCGCTTGATATATTTTTGCTTTTATTATGCCATCATTAACAGTATTTTTAAAGCTGAAAGTATTGATATTATGTGTTTTTAAATCCTTTTTTTAGACAAAAATATTGAAAAAGGCACTTTATGATCTGAAAATTAATTTTTTTTTGTTTTATATTTAATTTCTCAGCTGCCAAAATAATGTGTAACTTAAAGATGCATTATTCTTTCCATCTTAGATAAAAGATAGCTAGATGCATGGATATTTCAACTTGTTGTTTTCAGGAAAACCATCAACGCCATATGGTAAACCAAGTGTAGCAGAAGTAACCCATAATTCCCTCTCATTGTCATGGCAACCACCAAAACTAACCAATGGTGGCACCATTATCGCTTACATGATTGAGATGTGTGTGCTCAATGGCAAAGACTGGGTTACTTTGACCAAATCTTGTCAAGGAAACTATTACAAAGCTCGAAACCTTCAACCAAACACTTCGTATCAATTTCGAATACGAGCCGAAAATATATATGGTCGAAGTAAACCAGGAAACATATCAGAAATTGTACAAACAAGTTCCTTTGACGTCCATGACTTTTCTCCCTCCAAAGAAAAGAAACTGACAGTGAGACGATCGAGCACGAATACGTTAGTCCCAGTTGAAGGTCGGGTGGCAGCCATTTTGAATCATTCCAGTCCAGTGATTGAAACAACATCGGTGAGATCTCCCGAGGAATCTCGTGCCACTTTACAACGAGAAGGATTTCGATCATCACTGCCAAGTAAGAAACGGTCTGGCTCAAGTTTGATTCCTGGAACCAAAACAAACACTCTTGTAAGATTGCCACCTAAAACTAAATTCCCAAACAGCCATGACCTTGAAATCAAGAAAGATGGCAAAGGGAGTAACAGAAACAGCATAGAAGATTCCGAGGAGAGAGTAGCTGGAGATAGTAACATTGACAGTGATGCCAGATCTGATCTTGGCAGTGAGTGTAATACCCTCAGCCAATCATCAGGCAGTGAGTTTCTAGGGAAGGAACATCATTCAGATGGAGGTCCAGACATTGAGGATGAACCTGATGGCGATCACAGGGTATCGGAGGACATGATGCTGTCGGCACCAGTTTGTGATGTTAAACTGGCATTGTACTCTCGAACACTGGAATCGTACTCGGATGAGAAACTGCGTTTCCTTAGTGACGAGGGAATAGACACATCGGGTCCTGTGAACCCCGACTTCCGGACTCTTCGTAGTATGTTGCAGTCCTCTGATGTTATCATTAAACCCACGCAGTCACTTCCTGAAATATCTGATGTGTGTCGAGGGAAAGATGGGCGTGGGTCATTACGCAACAAACTGACCCCGATAGTTGATGAAGAAGATGATGACTCAGTTCAAGTGACAACATTGTAGCAATGTCCAACTGTTTCATCATTAAAATGACAATATGCAACAATTTGCTTGTGTGAGGCTTGACCTTTTTGGGACTGATGAGACAAATGAGATTGAATTGAAATGTTCATCTCTTATCAATTAGAATCTATCATTAATAGGCAGCTTATAACATTGACATGACACGACAAGACATGACAAGAAACTAGAAAGGCATGGTATAAATGGAGTTATATCTCAGCTGGTAAATGTCATATTTGTTGGTGTCTAATTGGAGTTTTAGCCTGGTTAGCAAACATGTATGTAAGCAATAAATGGAGTTATGTATATCTTGAAGCAAACATGTTGGTCCTATGAATGGGTTGTATCATTCATAACAAACATCGTGTTTGATGTTGATGGGTTAATAATGGGATTTATTCAAGTATATGAACACATACAAATTTCAGTTTTATATATATCTTGTAAAAATATATGATATCAGATATAAGTAAAACTTTCAGTCTTTATATCTCAATATCTATCATATACATGTATATATTACAGTATTTTGTTCAAACTGGTGCTGACTGTCGGTATTCTTTATCTATGAATATATACGTGAAAATACTTCCTTCTATTTCGGTAAAGGTATGCCAACTTTTCATTTCTTTATTTCATTACATGTGCAAAATATTTAATAAACTGACAATAAAGCGGAACTATGATTTAAGTTTTATGGCATGATATATTGAGGATGAATATTACTTCTCGTTACTCTGCATATAATCTGTTACATACAAAATATATCTTAGAGAACTTCATCACAATGAGAATGAGTTATCTTTTAATGGTACAAGTTTATCTAAATACCTTAAGTGTGCTATGTTTCAATCTAAAACAATTCTAAGGAATAATGTAAAAATTTTGTCAATTCCATTTCATTAATATTTTGCATGCATTCTGTAATCAAATGTTCAAAAAGGGAGGTAGGCTTACAATTACCACAAATAGATGAAAGTATATAGGTGAGCCATACTGTTTCCACATTTTATCACGTGTCTGTTCAAACTAAAATATCTCTAGTAGCTTTGATTTCTTTCTTACAGAAAAAAACCCAGGCTTTTTTCTTGCTATGTTTATTTCAAGACTGAAAGAAACAGGTGTTGAAACTATAGTTGTTGAAGTTTAAACCTCTCTGTCCATTGGAATTGAGAATGGAATTTAATGTTTACACTTTGACTTATCCCAGCGATTTGTTGAGGGACGTGTTTTGTGAAGGTTGACATTCCGCAGTTCATCAAATGGCTAGTGGATAAAGTTATTTGGACAAGGCATGCCCGCTTTGAACTGTCACATTTATATATTAGGTGAAGGCATGTCAGAGCTTTGTTAACATTGTGTCAACATATTTTCCTGACATATTTTCTCGATGCAAATTTAAGACTTTATCACAATGCTCAATTTCTTGTACTCTCTTCATACTTTCAACTTTCGGAAGAATGTACTGTGAAATTGATGTATGCTTGTGAAAGAATGGTTTATAATGGATAATTTTCAGATTTAGTCCAAGCTTACCATAATATAGTGCTATTAATTTATCAATATTTTTATGGTTAAAAATAGTGTGAGGCTTTTATCAAAAAGTATTAAAGATGACTGATTACACAATTTGCTTACAAAATTGTGGCCTTAGGCTGGTATTGTGAATCTGCAATTGACATGGAAATTCTCCCGGATCATCATACATATTTCACTACATATATATAGCATGTGAATATATTTGTGCTTATAAGAGTTTCTTACAAGGAGAATACAGGTTTTTGTATCTATTATATCATATTTGCTTGTGTCAGTTGTGTATGTGGATGTATAAAAAACATGAACCTCGTAACGTTTAAATTTAGTAAAATGTTTATTTCAATAGTCAGTGTGTTTTGTTTTCTCTATTTCCTGGGGCGGTGGGGTAGCCTAGTGGTTAAAGCGTTTGCTTGTCATGTCGAAGGCCTGGGTTTGATTCCCCACATGGGCACAATGTGTTAAGCCCATTTCTGGTGTCTCCCACCGTGATATTGCTGGAATACTGCTAAAAGCGGCATAAAGCCTTACTTACTCTTTATGTCCTGAACAATTGTGACTGAAGTGGTTGTAGGTGACAACTGACCATGAAGAGTTGCCTCCCTTGCTCATGAACAGGACCAACTTGTTTTTGCCATTGTTCAGGGTTTTCTCAAAAGTGGAAAAGATGTGTTAAAATCATTGTTGGAGGCTTTTGTCAAACATGACAAATTTTATATTACTCATACATGTCTCAAACCCAAAGTAGTTTACTCCTGCATGGTAAGAAATTGGGGCGAAGTTTGTATTTCTTCCTTTATATCAATTAGCCAAGTGAGTAAAGTGTCCGCTCATCATGCTGAATACCCGGGTTCCATTCCCCACATGTGTACAATGTGTGAAGCCCATTTCTGATGTTCGCCACAGTGATATTGCTGGAATATTGCTAAAAGTGGTATTAAACTAAACTCACTCACTCACTCCTTTATATCAAGTAATGTAGTGTAATATATCCCAGGATGTAGTTTTTACTTCAGGTAATATTGATTACCATAGAATATGAGATAAAGACCAGGCAGAGTTGTCTCCCCTTCATTGCTATTGCATCAGTCTGCAGACCTTGCAAGGTATGTATATTTATGACCTGTATAAAATATATACGACAAGTTGAATCCTGACCTGTATATGACATAAGTTGAGAAAGGACGAATGACTCATACAGGGAAACATGCTCCATGACTCTCCTCAGCAAAATAAGTTGTTTTTTCTGTTCAAAATAACTGTGACATTGGTGATAATTTCTCTGTAATTGTATAACTGAAATGCTTGTGATAAACATTTTGTTTTGACAAAATATTTGAAAATGAAACTTTCAAATCAAAAGCCTGTATGCACTCAAATCTTTACTGTCCTGTACTTAATATCAGAATGTGATGGAATTTTATTACACTTGTCACGTAAATTTAAGTAGGTAAAATTATAATGCATTTTCAAAACAGGAAAAAGTATACACATTTTGTTTGGTAATTTGCAGTGCTGGATATCCTTTGGAATTAAGCTTAGTTTAGGCTTAAGAACTTGAATATATGAAAGCTGATCCTGTAATACTAGAGAATATTCAGTATATACACATTTTTTTAGAGCTTATTTAAAGAAGTATTTAACCTAGATTCAAATATAAAAATATCAATTTGAATGTAAATGCAGAGGTTAAACAATCATAATATCTTTTTGGAATGTGAAACACTGGTAATATGAAGCAAGCTACACTTGTTGTTTACTGTGCCAGCGAGAACAGTATTTGGGCTATCAGCTGGTTGTGACTGGTGTGCTGGCCGACATATACATTGCAGTGAGTCATGGTTTGAACCTGTCTGTTAACAGGTGTTAAGTCAACAAGCCTTTTGACTGCAACAGCAAAACGTGTCCTTTGTAAGGGCATTGAATAATACATATATTCAGTTGTGTGCTGTTAACACAGAACATTTGTATTGACAGAGTGCTTGCAGATGACTGTATACAAGCTCACACCAACTTTGTGTTAATGTGATATCAATGTATTGCTATTATCAAATGCTAAGAGTTAGTTTTAAAACAAGTATACAATGATATAATTGGATGTATTTCTAGACTTCTATATTTGCTGGAGGCTGATGTAAAATATTTATTTGTGAGCGAATCTCCCATAGATTGGTGTATAGTCTGTCATACAGACCCTGAAGCAAATATATCCAAGAAAGCCCATGCAAGTCTAGAAAATGTGGCAAGTCTAGATTTCCTCTTCTGAAAATGAAGAAAGTCTCAGGGCTCCTTTTCATTATATTTTTTTTGTTTACTATGAATTTGTTTCCAGTAAAATATGTTCATTGCAGAGACTAGTTGTTAGTCTAATTGGTGTACTGCTGTCTGAATTGTTTAGTTCAAGGGCTGTTTCCTGTACAAATTTTAATATGTTTCCTGTTCTTTCAAACCTGTTGCATGCTGATCCAGGGGAAGGAACTTTTGCTGTCTTGTTTTCATGTGACAGAATTTCCAGTGGAAGTGACATAAAATCATTGCATTTCTCACCTGTAAGTCGGTGATTTGCAAATGAATTGAAAATGAAACGTGTCATTGTGGTAAAACTAGAAAGTACCCAATTTAAGGTACCCTTTCAGCACCAAAACTTGATTTTTAAAACGGTAGTCTCTGAAATTGCACTCAAAGAATGTAACCAGATTGACCTGCTCTTGTTGATGTCATGTAATTTGTATGAGGGTAAAACATTCCTATTATAGACCATGTGTCCAGGGTATATATCATTATGCAATGGAGATATGACTCACTGTATTATCCAGAATGAATACGGTAGACACATAACTTGTGAAATCTTACTTTATGTGGTGTACTGTAGGGTTTCCTAAGTAAATGTCTCAACTAATCTCATTCGTAATTCCTTTATGTATTATATCTCATATACCATAAATTAATATTTAAACAATATATTCATTCCTATATTGAGCTGTGACTTATTCACCATATATTAGCAATCTGCCAATCGTCCACAAGGTGGTTACAACACAATGACTATCATACCTCATACCATAACATTGATATGCAACATACACAGCTTGTAACTAGGACCCAGGTCACATTGACATATGTATTCAGTGAAATATATCTACCTGAACAGGTAACTCCAGACCATAATGATATTCCTGAAATATGATACTGTTTATTGCGATGGATCAAAGCTACACTGCAGAGATAAGCATTGCCTTTTGTGGCACTGAAGCTAAGAAAATTATCAGATAGAAAATGGGTTTACTTCAGATTGAAATCTCAGGAACGTTTTTCAAATTAGAACAATATGCTCTCCATTTCTTGCTGTAATCGTTACAACATTGTAATTTTGTTAGCAACAACTAAGATTACATTATTGCATTGATGGTAGTGTTAAAACAACTTGGAAAAGATTTCATATAACTTAACATATAGAGAGTCTGCCAACAAGTTTGAACCCCTGGTTTCCAGCGCTCTCCCTGATTACATTTACATCATTTCCTTATTGTATGAGAATTTCCTGGTAAGCGATTATGTTATGTAACTGTTATGGTTATTAAGGAAATGGCAACTGAATTTAAAAGCTTGCAGTAAAATTTGAAATTTTAGAAATGAGATTAGGGAATGTTTCAATTTGAGAATATTTTCTAATTCTGTTTTGTGATCTTAACAGATCACAAAATCACCAAACTACTACTTCTTGGGCCTGGAATGATAAAATACAAACCACAATATCTACAGTTCGAAGTGTTGGTCTTCAATATCAGGTTTATGCTCAGTAAAATAATAGGTGGTAAGAGTGGAAAGAGTGAAATATAACCATGAAGTTGTGTTGCAAGGTTCTGCTTTGTTTGGACTTTGTCTTCTTGTGAAGTTGTGTTGACACCTTATATATTACTTTGGCTACCGGAAGTAAGGAACTAAGTGGCTCCTTCGAAAACAATGAAAGTTCAAGATATGGAATATGTATCATGTTTATATGATATACTTGTGAAATCAGCTGCTTTAATACTTCAGGGGTTTCGTGACATTTTCTGTTGACGTTGAGGAGGTAGGGTACTCTCTCATACAGACCTGGAAACAAATATATACAAGAAAGCCCATGCAAGTCTACAATGTGTGGCAAGTCTAGATTACCACAGTTTCTGGCTGCAAATGAAGTCTCTGGACTGCTTTTTATTATATTTTATCATCATAATTTAGGAACTGTTTTTTTTCTGTAAAATATGTTAGTCTAGAGATGGGGTAGCTTATAAAAGGGGGTACTGTTGTTGGACGAGTGTTAGATAATCTGTTATCAACCAAATGTGGGGTGTCCAGATTAGCAAGGTCCAAAATGTACAGGTGTGAGATATTCTGTAGTCAACCAAGTGTGGGTTGTCCAGATTAGCAAGGTCTGAAATGTACAGGTGTGAGATATTCTGTTGTCAACCAAATGTGGGGTGTCCAGATTAGCAAGGTCCAAAATGTACAGGTGTGGGATATTCTGTAGTCAACCAAATGTGGGGTGTCCAGATTAGCAAGGTCCAAAATGTACAGGTGTGAGATATTCTGTAGTCAACCAAATGTGGGGTATCCAGATTAGCAAGGTCTGAAATGTACAGGTGTGAAATATTCTGTAGTCAACCAAATGTGGTTTGTCCAGAATAAGGTCCGGAATACACAGATGCAACTGTAAGAAGTAATCTGAAGTATAAGCATAGGATATGTTGACCGACCATACACTACACTGCACCCTGTCTAAGTAATCTGAAAAGCAGCATCTCCATTATCTTGTAATTGTAGAGGCTGCTCGTTTCTGTAGCTCATCATGGGATGTTGGTTGAAGAACGTTACAGGGATAATGTTGATGTTTTATTCAGTACCTGTCTCTCTGTCTAGCCAATCTGAGTAACATGATGAAATACCTCGCTGTTTTAAATAAGAAAATACTTACTTATTGGGAGTAGGTAGCACAGAGCTCAATATGTCGACCATTGGAATGTGAAACAATAGGACAGGGTTGTTTGCTTTTAATTCCAACATTTTCTCTTTTTTAATTTTTTTAGTTTGAAAATATTTTGAAGAAACGGTTCATGATTGTCTTTGCTCTAAATCCACTGCTTAAAATAAATATCAAGTGTTGATTATTTTCACAATAATTGGATGGAATTCCTGCAAAAACAAATTGCCTAACTCCTGCCTGTATCAACAATTTCCACAGCATGATAAACAATCACCACAACCTCAGCCTGAAACATAGCCACCCACAAGCACCTGCTGTTGCTGAATACAACAGAAGATGTGGAGGAAGCTCACAAAATGCTGAGTGGTTTCATATGATGTTT